AATTAGCACTAACTATAGAATAGTACAGAGCATGTACTGTATTCTGCATGTGTGACCCATGTGGGAGTTCAGCTCAGTGATCTGCAGTCATAATGCACAAAAGTGGTAATGTTTAGATTGGGCGTACAACTACAATAGTTGAAATCAGACTGTCAACTAATTGGCTTAAAGCAGTGTACTGTACTGCACAGGAGAAAGACGAAAGATGTTTTCAGCCTGAAATGACTCTGGGGCAGTTTTATTGTTTGTTCTGATTTGATGGCAAATGTGCAGCTAAAATCATATTGGATCCTTGCTTCTAATACTGCACCACCAGAAGGAGTGCTGCAAATTCCCAGCCATGTGCTTGCTATAAATGGGTGATCATTTGAATAAATGGAAACTTTGAATAGAGCATTTTCATCACATGAGCAGCTCATTAATTTTATAAAATAAACAACAAAATTACATTTGTATGGTGCCTTTCACATCGGGAGGACATACCAAGGCGCTGGAAAATCAGTGTTTCGGAGCCAAGCTGGGGTCTGGGATTGGGGAGGGTGGAGAGCGGGGTGGGGAAGGAGGGTGACTGAAGGCACGGTCGAAGAGAGGGTCTTGAGATGGGTCCTGAGGCCAGGGAGGGGCTGAGGTGGAGGGGGCGAGATGGAGGGACTGTGGAATGGAGTTCCAGAGGGTGGGGGCAGAGTGGCAGAAACCCCACTTGATTTTGTGGTTTTTGCATGTGCCAAGGCAGGCATACGCAGAATATCAACGTTTTCCCTGTTCCAATTGAATTCCAGTGTGGGCCAGAAGCATAAACCTGGCCTCCTATTTCAAATTATTGTGCTGCCTGCAGTGAATTAGCTTCTCTGGGAATGTAGCTTGAAGAAACCGTGTGCTTGTAGAGATATTAGAATTTCTTCCATTTACCTTAAAATGTATGTAAAGCAGCTTAATTGGGAATAATCTTAATAAAATATCAAATCTTACCAAATTGTGTGCTTCTCCAATCAGTTATCATTCCATCTAACTACTGCCCCATCTCCAACCTCCCTTTCCTTTCCAGGATCCTTGAAAGAGTTTACGAACCCCTCTAATCGGGTTCTGTACTGCCCACAGCACGGAAACAGCCCTGGTCAAGGTGACAAATGACATTCTGTCCATCTGCGACCCGGGCTTCCTTTGTCTCCTTGTCCTCCTTTACCTCTCTGCTGTCTTCGACACTGTAGACCATTCTATCCTCCTCCACCACCTCTCCTCTCACCTCAACCTTCAAGGTTCTGTCCTTGAATGGTTCAGATCTCACACCGGCTCTATTTCTCCTCTGGCTCCCGCAACGTCACATACGGTGTTCCTCAGGGCTCTCTCCTCTGTAATCTACATATGCTCCCTCTTGGTGACATCATCCGCAGACATGGGGTCAACTTCCACATGTATGTGGATGACGCCCAACTTTATCTCTCTGCCTCCACCCTCGACTCCAGGACCACTGCTGTCTTGACAGACTGCCTGTCAGACATTAACTCCTGGATGAGAGCCAACTTTCTACAATTGAACGTCAGCAAGACTGAGGCTCTCCTGATTGGCTTGTGCCAGCGCCTCCGCACCAAAGTCACTGGCAGCATCAGTGTCCACGAATGCATACTCCACCTCTCCGACCCAGTCAGGAACCTAGATGTCTTGTTCGACCCTCAACTGTCCTTTCTCCCTCACATCCGTGCCATGACCCGCTCTGCCTTTCCCCACCTCTGCAATGTTGCCTGACTCCACCACTGCCTCACCCCTCAGGCCGCTGAAACCCTCATAACATGCCTTTGTTACATCCAGGCTCGACTATGCCAACTCCCTGCTTGTCGGCCTTCCCAACTCTTCCCTCCACAAGCTGCAGGTCATCCAGAACTCTGCAGCTCGTGTCCTCTCCCGCACCAGGCTCTGTGATCCCATCGCACCCACCCTTGCCTGACTTCACTGGATCCTCAGAGGATTGATTCAAAATCCTCGTCCTCACCTTCAGGACCGTTCATTGCTTTGCCCCCTCCTACCTCTCTTTCACTGTGCCTATTGATTTAATTAATATTAAAGCACACCTTGCGCAGGTACTGCACATCTGCATGAGATTTTGTTTTTGTACTAATATATAATGTATATTTTGCACTAATATGTAATGAAAGATGGATGGATATCACACAAACCGCTGTCATTTCCTCTGCTTCCATCCTTGCAAAACATCCTGTTGTCTGTGAAATGGAGAAAGTAATATCTGTTCAGCAGCTGAAATAAACAGTGCAACTTTGTAGTTAATTGCACTTTCACATCATATTGGGCACTATTGGAAGTCTTTTTCGTTCGTGGCAAAACATATTTAGAAATTTGATGCAATGTTAAATACATAAAATAGTCTACATGGTAGTATTTGTTACATTTACATTTTACTGCTGCTTTTCTATGGTGTGTATTTCGGGGGTTATTTAAAAGGTGATGTGACTTCCTTACTGTAAAACAAAAAGGTACCGTATGAATGTCATTAGCACATAACTCATGTTCATATATGTAAATACAACTTTTTGGTCAGCCTAATGTATGGTGAAACCCATCACCATGCTGGACAGAGACTTCCATGAATCCCACTTCCACGTGAAAATTCCTGTGTTTGGAATGGAATGCGCACTCCTTCCCCAAAGGAACGCATCCTTATTCCCTTATACTGGAGAATATGAGGTGAAGGCTGGCAAGAGTCAAGGCTGGAGACCTCAAAGAGTGTGCCTTCGGTCATTCTCCCTCCCCACCCTCTTTGGCCTCCACCCCTCTTGTGAATCATTCCATCTAACTACCCTTTCCTTTCCAAGGTCCTTGAAAGAGCTTACGAGCCCCTCCAGTCGGGTTCTATGCTGTCCACAGCACGCAAACAGCCCTGGTCAAGGTGCCACTCCTCTTGTGGATCGGTCAAGGTGCCACTCCTCTTGTGGATCATTCAGTTTATGGATCCTGAAACTATTTCAATAACCTAGACCCTCATTCCTTTTCCACTTATGTATTCCCACCTCCCCTTCTAAATCCTCGGGTGCAAACCTTTGAAAGGCGCTATATAAATGCAATTTATTATTGTTGTTGAACTTTGTTCTCTACTACCAGGTTAATGTTTACTGCACAAGCAGAATACAAATGCTTTCATCTAGATAATACAATTTTGATGAACGTGCCTTACCTTATTAATATTTTTGCTCTTTGCAAAATGACGATCTTATCACAGAAATGTACACCATTCCCAACCCCTGCAAATTGAAGGGTTAGCTAATAGTAACAAGTTCCATTTACATCGAGTTAAGAATGATAATGGGTTTTTGTGTGTGTCAGAAACCTGGCTGACTGATTTTGTTTACAGCTGGGATACCTCTCCAGAGGCGAGCATGTTTGCTTAGCTTTTGTTTTATGCTTGAGCCCACCTTGTACAATATAGATCAAAGGAATATAAGTAGACATTAATTTCACAGGCCATTAATAATAAAACTAGTTTAAAAAAATCCTTGCATTTGATATAGTGCCTTTCACATCAAGGGGACATCTCAAAGCACTTCATAAAATTTACTGTAAAGTGTAGTGACTGTATTTTGTGGGAGAATAATGAATTGGGGCAGAGTGCTATAGCCTGGATAAAGGAAAATTGTGACAGGTGCATGCTATGCCACCATGACTCAACTATCAATTTGAAAATCCCATAAGGTTACTGGCGTGTATTCTTGCTATCCCATTTTAGAATAAAGCAAACTACTCTGAGGAACCGTGTTATACAGTATTTGTTTGTCAGCGATTCAGGGCCTTGAGATGAAACGATTTGCTGTGAGGAGTAAACTTGAGAATTTATTATTTTATAAAAGTGGTCTATTCAACTGAACAAAGGGCCTTTTTGTGGTCAGCCGCGTGCAGAAACAGTGAGCGTTCCACATATGCCACCTGCACATGGAAATTTCTGTTTGTCGGGAATGGAATGCATACTCTGTCCCGGGAGGGTCGCATTCTGCTTCACTAAGTCTGAAGAGTTTTAAGCGCAGGTTGGTGAGAGCCAAAGCTTTGGGACCCCAGAATATGTGGGGTGCTAGCTGTTCTGGACCACTGCGGATCCGCCTGGCTCAGGAACCAGACGACCAAGACCGTCATCAGAGGTTGATTTGATTCCAACATTCCTTTGTCGAGCACGTCACCTTGCAGTCAGTCCAACTCCAAAGAGATCCCACTTACTTTCTTTCCTTCTCCAGGCAGTAGTCAGTAGTTGGTCATTTGACAATTGATGAGTTGGTCATTTGCCAATATGATTGAGCTCTCATTAGGTGGATAACAAAAGGATTTAGAAGGGGAGGTGGGAATATATAAGTGGAGAAGGAATGAGGATCTAGGTTAACAAAGTAATTTCAGGATTCATAAACTGAAATGCAATCTTACTATCTAATCGATGCTGGTAGTATTAAAACTAAAATTAAATCTTTAAAATTAGAACGAAGCCTGTTGAAAGGTAAAACAGCAATCATTTCTTCACCGTGGTTGTGAGAATATGGAAAACAATGGTCCAGGACATGATACGTGTAGAATCAATAGTGTTTACAAGTGGTATGCTTCAGCAGTACAGGTGTTAAGGGATATAGAGAAGTGAGAATAACAAAAGATTTAGTAAAATGGCGAAGTAGGCTCCATGGGCCAAGTGGCCTGTTCCTAAACCCCAGCAGTGCGGTTTAATTCCTGGTATCCTGGCCAACAATGCCCCAAATAAAATTTGTGTTTCACTTACTGTTTGTGGGACATTGCTGTGCGCATATTGGCTGTGTTCGCCCACAAACAGCCATTAAGTAAACGACTAATATCCTGTGAAGCACTTTGGGACATCCTACTGACATGAAAGGCGCTATATGAGATATAAGGATTATCATTAATTGTGAAGGGATTTATTGACTCAGAATGCTACTTAAAATTATTTACTGTATTTTCTTCATTTAATGAATATTTCAAGATGTTGTCTTCTTTTTCTTCAGTACAGTGCAGTGGATACCAATCCGTTATCTCTGTATGTTATGCACCCATTTTGGAACTCTGTAGTTAAGGTAAGAACTCATTGTTGTAAGCCTTTCACTATTATTTTGAGCTGTGTATTTTATTTCTCGTGCAGGGTAATATATTTCAAACAAATTTGTCAGAAATTATTTGAATGGCAATCCAAGATATTGTATTTCCATTTGAAACATTTCTGTTTTGAATCCCAGAGTATGCGTTGGGGACCTGCTGGAGTTAAACCAGCTAAATCTGCCTAGCTTCCCATTGCAAGCACTGTCTGGCAAGCTTCCCATTGCTTGTCCAGCTCTTTGGCTCGCATGGTTAACAGGAGTGAGGAGAATATCATCGATAGTGCCTGGAGTCCTGCAGACCTGCGTGGTTCAGGAACCAGACTACCGAGACTGCCACAGATTCTGACATTTCATTGCCAAACACGTCATCTTGGATTTAGCTCCCAACTCCCTGATTACCTATTTCTCTTCCCCCCCCCCCACCCCCTCCATCCGGAGGATAGTCCCTTTGACTCGCTCAGTCCTTTATAGCTCCTTTCCAAATCGATATTGTTCTCTCCCTGCATTTTGCGTAGACCAAACTGCTATCTTGTCATCAATTTTGCACCTCACTGATGTAGCTCCGTCCTTCTCTAAGCAGCTATTATCACTAATTGCAGGCATTCTGAGATCCAGAATGTCCGGATATGTGCTTACAAACTTGCCCTTCGCTTCTAGAATTAATATTTGTGAAGAATAGCTCTGACCAAACTAGTATACATTAACTCTGCATAGAAGAAGGTGGGTTTTAAGTTGATCTATTTGTTGTAGACAGGCAGTAACATTGGGAAGCAAGAAATGGCCACCAGTTTTATTGGAGTAGTTGCTGAAGACGAGAGTGGTAAGGATAAAAATAATAGGTCTCCAATAAAGCATGTCTGATCTCTGCTCATGAACCTTTCTTGGTTTGTTTTTAGATATTACCTACGTGGTTGGCTCCAAATCTGTTGACCTTCTCTGGTTTCATGTTACTGGTTCTTAATTTTTTTATGTTGGCCTATTTCGACTTTGATTTTTATGCTTCAGGTAAGTTCTCAATTTTTGTTTACATCTTAAAAAATGCAGTGAAACCTCTTTGTAGTGGAATGGCCCAAGTCACTTTGTTATGCAACGGGGTAAAATATCTTTGATTATGCAGCAAACTTAAGGAACCATTAAATTAATTTCATGAATTAAGATTTTCAGTAAAAGCGCTTTATATCACCTGACTCGATGCAATTCTATTTTTTTAAAAAAAGCTTCATTCCTGAGAAGTCTTTTCACGCAACTTCTCTAATATCTTGTCAGTTTTTCATTTTTTTTCTTCAAAACTTATCATTATATGCTTTTCTCAAGTTGTTTCCTTTGTTTCATTTATGCATTTTTCTTTAGTTTTTCTGATTTCCTGTTTTAATCTGATGTCTGAATTGTGTAATCATTTCCTCAATCTGCTTTCTTCTTCGGTATTCTTGAGGAGCAGCTCTTCTGTTCTTGTTAAATATTACTCTAACACTCTTCTGTTGTATTTCACACTCAGTTTAATCATGTGGCTCTTGATATAAATTCCTGATAGTGAAGTCTTTATGGTAAAGAGAATCGATAAAAGATTCCACTGTAGTTCATTAATGTGTTCTGGTTAAAGGTTGAAAGTATCAAATATGGGTGGCCTGTTTTGACGTCTTCATATTCAATTTATTTTTGCAATTGTGTTATGTTCCTTTTTAATGCTTTCTCCCCCCCCCTCCCACCTCACTCATAGCAAACCAGTAATGCTATTGTGAGATGGATTTTTTTTATCTGATGTTTGATAGTGTCCAAAAACCTATCCATGAACTAGCACAATTTGCCCAGTTAGAGTCAGTGACTAGGCCTTGGTTAGGAGGATGTGACTGTAGCAATAACTGTTTTCTCTTTATTTTGCTCAGTCTGTTTGCTCTAACTGTAATATAACCAGTGTCCTGCTCGTCCTTTAATTTGAGGGTTTAGATTAAATGCCCTGGTACCAAACCACAGAAATTTGTTAATGGCTTCATATCAAGTCCTCAACGGTAGTACATAGTGATGTTTTGATAAGTTAAGACATTAATTTGTAGCTATCGGGATTTCCAAATGAATACAGCACATTTCCTCCCTTCTCCCTCCCTGACACCAGCTCGGGTCTGAAATACTGTATACTGTCCAGTGCCTTGGGACATCCTCCCGATGTGAAAGGCGCTATACAAATGTAATCTTGTTGTTTTGTGGTATTGTTACCACAGAACATATCTGTATAGAATTAGTTTGAAATTCTTTGGAATCTGTGCATAAAGATTTTTTGTGCTGGATGTAACCTATTGAACATTGCACTGAATTTAATAAGAACCACTTTATGGTGGAGTCTTCCTTTATTTTCTGTCTTGGGTCAGGAAGGAAGAGGGAGATCTTGAGATTTAAATTTTTTTTTCTTTAACATGGAGTGTAAAATTCTTATTTTGTTATTTAAATCTGTGACTCATTCCATTTGAAATTAATGCCCATTCCATTCCAACAATTTATCTCTGGAATCTCCACGTGTAAGTGAGATGCGTGGAATTGTTGTTGATGGGTTTCCGCATGTGTCAGACACCCGGCTGACCAAAAAAAAATGCTTTAGACATCTTGTCAAATTATATGGTGATGACTTTCTTCCTTCTCTTCCTGTTTCAGGTGTAGGCCATACACATGTTCCCAGTTGGGTATGGATTGCCGCAGGTTTGCTGAACTTTACCGCATATACACTAGGTGATGATGCATTTTATTTGTTAGTTATCCAGACTGCAAACTATTGTGATTTTCTAATCGTACCTCTTTTTAAGTAAACCCTGTGATGCATAGAAACGTTTTCCCTTCGGTTTGTCACTTTGAAATATAATCGCATAGAAATTCATTAATGTTCAACTTTATTAACAGTTCTGCCATTTTTTGCCATAGCAAGCTAAAATAGCTGACTTTTATCTTAATAGATCACCGTGCAGAAACAATTGCACATCCTCAGTGATGGTGTCCATTCCACAACCACGTGAATAACTGAATTTCAGACATTAAAGGGCTGCAATATATATCTGCTACAAATATCAAACATTGAAGTGGTTTGATCTGACGCCCTTTCCTTTTTTTAAAAAAACATTTAGTGTCCAATTTTGTTTCTAATTTTTTTCCCCACTGGCAAATACCTCTGCTCCTGGCGTGGTCTCCTTGTTGGTGCAGTTCCATAATAATAATAATCCTTCCATTCAATATAGAGCCTTATCACATCTTCGAGATGTCTCGAAGCGCTTCACAAAATATATTATAATGTGAATTGGCTGTATTTTTTGTGAGTGAAAAGCATCAGCCAATTGCGCCCCACAGTGTCCCTCAAGCAGTCGTGGATTGAGTGACCACATTTTTTTAAGGGATTAATACCCCTGGAAAAGCAATCTGCCAATCGACTAACAACCAGATTCCTACTTACTGCTAGGTAAACAGAGGAGTCAGGAAACTTGCCCAACATTTCACCCTGCCTGGGAATCGAACCCAGGTCACTCACTTGCTAGGAGAGCACTCTAACCACTGAGCTACAGGACTCCATGGGCATTGGTTGCCCACAGGTAACTGCCCAAGTGAGCCTGGGCAGGCCACGTGACTAGAGGGCATCACCGTCTTCTGAGTTCTCCTCACACAACTGCCACAAATGCTCAGACAGGGTGCTGTAGAGGGACTAAGTTGGCTCAGCTGGTTTTCCCCTCCCTCACACTGGGAAGGCTGGTGCCAGTTTATCCTCCCCATGCAGCCCTGGCTGATCCCAGCAAACTCAGCATGGAATAGTATTCTAACTAGTGAGCTCCTGATGTTGCAACTCTGACCACCTTATCCTCTACTGGGCTGTCCCTCTGAGAGCCATTTCTTAAATTGATTGCCAAATATCTTCGTGAATGTTAGAGATTAGAATTGCGTATCAGTGGCAATCAAATTGTGCTTCGATCTTAAAATTGAACGATATGTAGCAATTTATAACAACACATGGTTATTTGAAATGAAAGATTAAATTGCAGGATTAATCATTCATTTGTTTCTTATTTTAAATAATCCACACCTTTTCCATTTTAGTGGATGTTGAGGCACTTTACATTGGCACTGGGATTGTGTAACTTGAAAGTGCAGTCAGTCTCTGCCCTGAATACTTGAAGGGAATATATTGTGCAGAAGGAAACTTTGAAGTTGGTCAATGGGACATTCTGCATCCAGCATTTTAATTCCCCATTGAGGCCTCTCACATGTTAGGCAGTATATATAAATATAAACCATTGGATAAAGTTGAGTAAATATAGATGTTTAGCCTATACTTACTATATCATAATACTGTAACAAGATCCCTAGTACATTCTGTTCTTCAAATGCTTTTCTGTCCTTCACGTGCTTTCAAAGCCCTCCATGGCCTTGCTCCTCCCTACCTCTGACCCGTTAACTCCATACCAACCTGTCCACTTCCTCCGTTCAGCGTTTCCACCTTAGTCTGCCCACCATCGATAGCCAGGTCTTCAGCCATTTTGCCCCCACCCTTTGGAACTTCATCCCACAGTCATTTGCCTTGCCCCTCCCTTGACTTCTTCAAGTCCCGTCTCAAGAACCTCCTCTTCAACTGCTCCTTCAGTCTCCTACCCCTGCCCTCCACTCCTTCTGGTCCCAACCCCCAACACGGATCCAAATCTTTGAATGTCCAGCGCCTTGGGACATCCTCCTGACTAAAAGGCGTTATTCAAATGTAATTTGTTGTTTGCTGTTGTTGTGACTGCTCCAAATACTGAACTTGCTCTGTTTATCAATATCCTACAGATGGAGTTGATGGGAAGCAAGCGAGGCGAACCAACTCCAGTACGCCTCTTGGTGAACTCTTTGACCATGGTTTGGACAGTTGGGCCTGTATATTTTTTGTAGTTACAGTCTACTCCATCTTTGGACGAGGGGAGGCAGGTGTCAGCGTCCTCACACTTTTCTTCATTCTGTGGGTCGTACTGTTTTCATTCATACTGTCCCACTGGGAAAAATACAACACAGGAATTCTTTTCCTTCCGTGGGGATATGACCTTAGTCAAGTGGTAAGTGATTATTGTTTGTTTTCAGCTTGACCTTGTTGAATTTATATGGAAAGTTTTTTTTACACCAATATCTAAATATATATCTCAGAAATTTCCATGTGTAGGTGGGATAAATAATAATAATAATAATAATCCTTGCATTTGATATAGCGCTTTTCACGTCGGGAGGATGTCTCAAAGCGCTTCACAGAATACACTGTAAAGTGAATTGACTGTATATATGTGGGCAAACGCGGCAGCCAATTGCGCACAGCAATGTCCCACAAAGAGTCGTAGATTGAAAATGACCAATTTATTATTGTTTTTAGTTTTGGAGGGATTATTATTAGGTGTGTGGAGTAAGGAAACTTGCCCAAGGTTTTGCCCCACCTGGAATTGAACCCAGGTCTCTCACTTGCAAAGCGAGTGCTCTACCCACTGAGCCACAATCGAATTTTATTTGTTTGGGAACTCTTAAGCATGATGATGGGTTTCTGCAAATGTCAGAAACATTTGGCTGACCAAAACAAGTTTTAAAATATTCATTCAAAAATACTTAAATGCCAGTGCTTAATCAAATGTAGATAGTGCATCTTAGACAAAAAAGGTTCAGAATTGCAGGGGAATGATTACAATCACATTGTCTTGTAGAAAGATGCTTAACAAAAATCTGTAAACAAAGGTTGTTGTATCTTTTCACTTTTTTATTGATGATCTGAGATGAGGGATTAAGAAGAGGAAACGAGTTGTGGTTCAGTAACCCCAAGTTTTGGTTTTGAAAGCCTGAAGATTTGAGGAAGGATTAAAAAGAAAGACTTGAAGGAAATGAATTCCTGACATTTGTGGTCCTGGAAAGAATCATATGTAAATTTGTTGAAAATTACTCATCTAGAACATTTCCTCCCAATGTTCATTGAGCGTAACCCTCCCCATGTTATCTATGCGGTTTTAGCTGGTTCGACTCCAGCAGTACCCCAAAGCACACTCTGGGGAACCCAAGCCTTGGCTTTTGCCAACCTGTGTCTTAATACTTTACAGAATTAGGTAAGCAGGTTCAGTCCCTCCAGGGAAGAGTGTGCATTCCATTCCGAACAATGTGTCTCTGGAATTTCCATTCCAGGGTGGGAATTCCAGAGATAGACAAAAAAACTATCCATGTTTTGCTGGAAGCCGAGATTGGGAATGTGCTATTTGAAATAGCTTGAAACTCTGCTTTCTTGCTTCTCAGCAGTCAGATTTTCAATAGCCTTGGGACCAGGATCCTTGGTGTTGCCTGGTCTGTAAGCCAGAATTAATTCAAATATTTTTTATAATTTTTGTTAGTATAGTTCATTGGATGATGCTTTGGGGATAAAAAGGAATAGGAACATATAACATTTGGTGATCTAGTGGGATTTTCATTGCCTGGCCTCTGCTAACTTAGTTGTTTCAGCACCTTAGAACGACAAGAAAGGGAAAGATAATAATAATCCTTGCATTTGATATAGCGCCTTATCACATCTTCGAGACATCTCATAGTGCTTCACAGAATATACTGTAAAGTGAATTGGCTATATATTTTGTAAGTGAAACGCTTTTAAATAAAGATCTTTCAAATGAATTCCCTAGATATATGTTTTCTCCAGATTAACAAACCCTTTACAAAAAAGTTCTTTCTTAGAGAGGTGGTTTAACTGTTCAATTTATTATGCAGATACGTTTTAATCTGCACTCCCAATTTAGAAATACAGAGCATTGTTCTAAATAGTTACAAGCTTCACGCAAAGTGAAAAAAAACATATTTTCTTGTCTCTGTTCCAGACCATCTCTATTGTTTATGTGATAACTGCTGGAGTTGGGGTTGAGACCTGGAATGGACCCATCTTCCTTAATTTTCATTATCGAGATCTCTTCAGTATCATGATCCTGGGTATGAATCTTCAATTAAACATGGAGGACTGCTGTGTTAAAGAAATATAATTTTTTTTATAAAACATGAAAGTAGATCCAGGTGTTGATATTCCATGCTTTGCTTGGCATATGGGTTCACATTTAAATTTCCCCACATGGGGAATTTCCCCACTTTATCTGTCATCTCCATTCGGGAGGGTCATGTACTATCTACAAATGGTTGCTCAGGTAAATATAAAGCGATGGTGAAATACAATCTCAGTGCCTAAACTCGTGATGAGCAATGCGTAGTTCAGGGACATCTGGCAAAAAGAAATAGATTAAATGTTTATTGGATTCTTGATTGACCTCCTTATGGACCAGTGTGTGGTCATGGTTCAAATTAAAAGTTAAGTAACTGGAGTGTCGTTTGATAAATTATTGTAAGACATACAGTTTTCATGCACATCACCAAAAGCTCCCAAGAACTGCAGCAATCTTTTAAGGGGATGTGAACGTGACTTACGCTACCCCTCAATATACAATTTTTATTGATTCTATCCACAATTCGTCAGTAACCATGGGTAGAATCAATAAAACTGTATATTGAAGGGGTTAGTCCGTTATGTTCACATCCCCTGAAAAGATTGGTGCCACTCTTGCAGCTTTTTGTGACGTGCATGAAGTTATGCATTGTGATAATTTCTAAAACCTTCAATTCACGCTTAAACTGCCAGTAGTTGAGTAAACCAGTCTATTGCAATAATAGTTTCAATACTGGCAACCCTTTTTAATAATAATTAATTGTTTCCTTGGTTTCCAGGTCCTACTGTCCATTTTGGAATTAGGACTCATACTAATTTGGCTTCTTGCTGAAAACTGGGATTTTTCACTCAATTGAGCCACAAGTTTAAAGATTCACGTGGATGCTGGTGCACAGAGGGTTAATTTTCTTTACCCGTTCTTTTGCAGTCTTTCAGAAATGTATTAAATTCTTGATTGAGCACAAGAACATTTATCTTAATTGCTATTTCCATCTTTTGATGATACTACGTATGTTCCTTCAACTATTTAATGATCGAGTTTTCATATGCATATTATAATAGACTTAGGTTTCATTGATAATACAGCCAACATAGATTTATAATAATGCAATTTTTTATAAGTACCCTTATAGACTGAAAGTGTAATCTCTCTTCCAGGCTGTGCCTTTATCATCACGCTTCCTGTTAGCTTGTATAATGTTTTCAAGTAAGTATACTGTTTAGATAAGTTCATGATCAAAGTTTAAATGAGTCATGTTTTGTATTTGCTCATTCAGGTTCAATACCTGCATTATTTAAATTTTGACGTTTTAAAGTTTCATGTTGATTTTTGAAAAATGTTTACACTTCTGAATTAGTTTTAAAATAAAATGGTGGGGAAAGTCCAATAGGTTAACCTCGATTTCAGTATTTTGGGAAAATGACATTATTCCATTAGTTCAGTCTGAAGGAAGAATCCCTTTAAATTTGAAATTCATAGTTGCAATAAATAGTATTACAATTGAATAATAAATAACTCGCTTTGGTTTGGCCTGTAAATTTACTAATTAGATAGTTCTGTACCACCATTTTTGCAACTTGGTCCAACATTTGTTCATTTTTTTAAAAAATCTTCACATGACTCTCTTCTACCTTCCCCATCTAAAATCTGTAGTTCCGTGCACAATTCTTATACCAAGCAGGGAATGTGGCCTACTTCCCACTTTGTATTGTACAACTGTAATGCTCTGAATTAGTGGGTAGAAGGTGCTTACTTAATATAGAAAAAAAATTCCTCCTCTATAGTACATCATCTCTGTTTTAATAGTAAGTATTGTTGATTTGGTAGCAAATGTCCTGCTGAAATTCTACTCATTGTATCAAGTAAGAGAAGGAACGGTATGGAATATAAAATTGCATCCAAGTGAAAGGACCGCTGTGCAATTTATGGATTACCCTCCATTATAAGTTCCTGATCTTTGTTAAACCAGCAGGAGAAATAAGGTAGTTTCTCTTGTCCATCCTTTTTTAAAAAACTTTCTCTTTCCCCTACCCTCTTACCCAGACAAAGAATTGGGCAGTGGATCAACTCAGACTGTTTTCATTATGATATAATCATCAGCAAAGACCATTTTGGAGCCTGACCCCAAGGTTGTTTTTATTCAGAGCAGGAACCCTAAAAGTGCGAGTCACTCTACTAGTTTGATTGCAGAGAGCATACACATAGAGAGAAACTGGCTATCACTGACTCATTATAGCGTGGGTTGGAATTTTATGGACCCCAACCCACTATACGTGTACCCAATGAGGCTTTTTTCACTCATAATCCTGATTATTGAAAAATGTCAGTTAACTAGACATTTCAGATTACTTGGTGGGTTTTACTATATTGATTGACTGTGTTCTTGATCCCTAGGGCATATAGATCAAACACACTGAAGCAGAACTCATTCTATGAAGCCATGCTGCCATTTGTGTCGCCACTATTGCTTTTTGGTCTCTGCAGCCTGTGGGTCTTGATATCACACTATGATATCATAGAGAAACATCCAAGAATATTCTACTTTATGGTTGGCACAGCATTTTCTAACATTACGGTAAGATCTGTTTGGGTAGCTTGTCCATTGTAAAGTTTCTCACCTCACACTGATAAGCAGGTACCTAAAACATCAGGTAGAGAAATTGTGTGAAACTGCTTTTTATAATTCAACATTGATGTAAGTTGACAGCATGTGCCTCATCGCCTGGAACATGGTGAGAGATTTCGAAAAAAGGTTTAAGAGGATAGATAGTGAAAGATTATTCATACTGCTTGGAAACTCAGTAAACAAGGCATAAGCTCAGCATGGATGGAAGTTAGAAGAAACATTTTACACCAAGGGTTATCAGAACATGAAATATTTTGCCATATAGAGCACTTGATGCTGAGACCATAATAGATCTCGAAGGGGAATTTTTATAACCATTTGAAAAGGAATTTTAGAACTATTTGAAAAAAGTATAGGGAAAGAGTTGACTCGTCTTGCATTCACCAGCCTGTGCTCAATCACACGCTTTGTATACTGGAATTCATATGGAATTTTCCACCACTACTCTCAGTAGCAGGACAATTGCTCTTCTGACTATAAAGTCCTGGATGAACCAAAACCTTCTGCAACTGAACGATAACAAGACTGAAGTTTGATTTTCTTACCTCCCTTTAATTGCTTTAATCCCTTTTACTAATTTGTGATCATCTTAAACTTCTGCCCTATCATTACCTGTAAAAATCATCAATTACTATTTTATCCCAATCCTTCATAATGTTTGAGATCTCTATCAGGCCTGCCATTCTTTCACCTTCTTAGAACTAGTGTGGAAAGCTACTAATTATCTCTTCATAACTGAAACCTATAAATCTCTGTGAACATTATAGTGAATTTATACTGCACCTTTTCCATGAGCCCAAAGGTATCTTGGAGGGAAACTTAGAAATGTATAATATGCTTAAAAGAAACTATGCATCACATGGTTTAACTTAATGTAACTTAATGAACCATTTATTTTTTTAACAGCTCTTTTTCCTTTTTTGCAGTGTAAACTCATAGTTTGTCAGATGAGTAACACACGTTGTCAGACGCTCAGCTGGCTTCTCCTGCCCTTGGTTACTGTTGTAATCCTGGTAATCTCTGGTCTAGTACGAAACAAAGAATATCATCTCCTTATGATTCTAACTACAGTAATATCACTTGCGCATATTCACTATGGAGTTTGTGTGGTAAGTAGACTTTAGTTGGAAATGAACAACACATACAGTAGAGGTTTGTTATAATATGGTGGTTGGGATCCATAAAATTTCAATCAGTGTTGTAATGAGGTGTAATTGCAAGTTAGTACTTCTTGATTCATTCAGTGCTGGCTGGCTCCCCATACTAAAAAACATGTAGGTTGCCATTGATGGCACTTCCTTATGTGCACACACAAAGTGATGTTGTTTATGACCTGATCCACTGAAAATGGTCCATTAATGCAAGGGACCTAGCAAACTTTTTAACATGAGCTGGACAACTTGCATTTGGGTTTATTCAGGCGGTGATGTTGGGACACCTCAATCACTAAGAAATCGTGTTATAATGGTTAGAACAGGGTCTTATTGTGTTATACTATAGAATTCTATAATGCTATAATGGATTACTTTTTCTGGGTTTCCACGTTGTATGGTGTAGTAAGCAAGTGATTATTTGCCCACAAAATACACACTGGCGCATCACCTTACAGTATATCCTGTGAAGCGTTTTGAGATGTCTCAACGACGCGATAATAATAATAATAATAATAATCCTTGCATTTGGTATAGCGCTTTTCACGTCGGGAGGACGTCCCAAAGCGCTTCACAGAACACACTGTAAAGTGAATTGACTGTATATTTGTGGGCGAACGCGGCAGCCAATTGCGCACAGCAGTGTCCCACAAACAGTCGTAGATTGAAAATGACCAATTTTATTATTGCTTTGGTTTTGGAGGGATTATTATTAGGTGTGTGGAGTAAGGAAACTTGCCCAAGGTTTCGCTCTGCCTGGAATTGAACTCGGGTCTCTCACTTGCAAAGCGAGTGCTCTAACCACTGAGCTACAGGACTCCACGATAAGACTCTATATCAAATATAAGCATTAAGATAAGATTTATGATGTTAATCACAGAGTACTCATTATATTATAGGTTTAAGGAGCACATGGTTGTACTATATGTATTTTGAGTTGAGCCCTAACTGCACTGTCAAGTGAGGATGGAATCGGGCTAGATGATTTCTTTCCTCTTGCTTTGACTTGCCTGTACCCAATCACTATTGAGGTTCACACAGAAATACTGGGCCATTGGGAGAACAAAGTTCCCATAAATGCTGGAAACTGATGGTTCTGAATCTTTCCAGGAAAGTGTAAAGTACCTTGATTACTTTTTAAAAAGTAATTTGTGAATGTTTTGTCTCCCTCGTTCAGGTGAATCAGTTGAGCAAACATTTCAACATCTATGCTTTCTCTCTGAAGAAACTAAACAAAGAATGACTAGAGGAGGAAGAGAAAATTGGCTTACAGGCTTCTGAAGTATTGTAAAGTGTGATCATTCCACAAGCCTGTTGATTGCTTCATACCATCACCGCAATCTGCACCCCACCCACCACCACCATCAATGGAAAACAGAACTTTCAGATGGACCCTTCACAAGTATTAAAATATTGTTTTATAAGATCTTTATAAATAATTCAAAAAGTTTGATTGATTGGAGTTAAGTATTTAAGTCAACTTTAATTTGTGCACAAGTGGAGACCGACTGTGCACCTGGCTGGCACTGGATATTTTTGGTGATGATCCTTAAGGTTCTCTTATACCTATTGGAGTTTTTTGGTAGAGTAGATGGTATCCAAGAGAACAGGCAGCTAGTAACCGTTTCTTCATACCTTGTGCAAATTGACAACCTAGTCCTTGGGCAAAGCAATTATGTTATGATTTACTCGTTGAAAATTTTATTTTGGTCTTTCTTAAATACACGCCTTGCAAACAATCATGGATAGGTTAAAACCTCACTTGCCTTTGTAGTATTTGTGTCAAATTGAGCAAAAATGACATTGGAAATTACAGATTTTTAAAATGAGGGGATTACATGAGAATTCAGTAAATTGGAGTTTTCTACAAACCATGTTTGAAGGATGGATTTAAGGAACGCATGGGTATTGTTTGAGTAAGTTTTAAAAAATTGCATGGAGGAAAGAAATGAATTGGGTGAAAATTTAAACTTGATTCTTTCCCAAACAAATCAATCTCTGAAATTATTGTTCACTTTTTAAAAAAATGTTTCAGATGTTCAGTTTTGTGGTGATGAATGCATGCCAATTTTCTACTTTCTAGATTTTTTTTTAATTTAATGGAGGATTGTGCTTGAATGAAGAGTTTACTAAAAGTCTTTGGACGATGTATACTTGGAGGGAAAAAGCACGATTGACAGAATAGTTGTGTTTAATTTCGGTACAGAGAGCCACATAATTTGTACCTAAACTGTAGGAAAGGAACACATTCTGTGTGTTTTCACATGATGTTCGCAGTCACACTAAAGAATCTTCAAGACAAATCTGCAGTCCTGTTTATATTTTAAGAACCTACATACAGTACTGTATTTTGTTAATTGGTGTTGTAGGACCATTATGTTGTGGAGCACAATTTAACCAACTGTTTCACATATGTAGTTAATGTATCCCTTTCACTGGTGAAGCTTGCCATCATAAAACATAGCAAGATTTATTTTCACACTTCAGATTTCTGTTTCTAATAATTTGGCCCAGATGAATAGTGCACCTAAAATCGTGGATTTGAGGTTATTGATTCTATTGAATTTATTGCATCAGTTCTGAATTGGTTCCAGCCAGTTTAAAGCAGTTTACCAGATCCCAACTGAATTGATCATTAGGTTAAAAATGAATTTAAGACCTGTATACTTGTATATAAACTGCATTTTCCACCAGGTGCTGCTACCATAATGCACAAATCAGATCTCCAATCAGAAATTGGATATTGTAACTACTGAATGTGAATGGATGTGTGTCTCAGGACATGTACTAATATTTGTAAATTCCAGTTGCTATTCTTTGACCAACCCAAATTAACCTGCAATACTAAATTGGATGAAAGAAGTGAAAATATCCCACCTAATGTTGCATATTGCTTTTTTGTTCAGCAGTATCCACCTTCTGTGGATTTGTAACTATAATCATGTTTCCAATTATAGTTCATGTTTTAGCTGTAATGCTTATTTCAGCTATTTTTGTACATACACAATTGATATTGTTGAGGAGGAGCATCTGATGTTCTGCTTTTGATGCATTTCAGGAGGCTTGAAGCTAAAGTTTGGAACTTAAATACCTAAGGATTCAGTTCCACTTTCAAAGTTTCAAGCTAAAAAAAAACAACTTACAAAGTTCACTTCTAATTCATATTCATTATCTTATGGGACCCATGACAGGTGAAAATAGATTACTGACCTGCATTGCATTTACTGATCAGCACAACTTTGAATATTCAAAAGTCATTTGTGCAATAATTCTAAATCAGACCAATTTTATTTATTTCAATTCTTAATTGAAATTAAAAACGAGATATTGGGTCACCGTTGAATCATTTATTTCAAACAAAACTACAATGAATTAACTCCCAGAATTGATCTGGCTGATCTAAGTGGTCTATACCAGCACATACCATCTGTGTACTCTCAATCTAGACTTACTAGACAACCGTGACTACTTGAAATGGTGCGAGAACCTAATAAGGTACCTGCAACATCCGTCTTTAAGAAGCCACGACTGGAAAGTGATAATGCATGCACCTTTGTTTAATACAGACTTAAAACATGTCCATGTCCATTGTTTGGATCTGATTGTAATTTAATCATCCTACTAAAAACAATTCTTCAGATAGCATACATGTGCTATCAACTGAGATGTTTACATAATTATTGCAAGTACTATTAAAGGATCAGAGTTTGCAACTATCATGTAGCTGTGTAAAATCATTTTTCTTCCTGATCTTTATTGGCAATTGTTCCAATGCATTGTAACTGAGCCTAGTAGAAGATTACAATAATAATCTGGAGTCAATCACTGAGGCATCTGCCATTCTTAAATGAACTCAGTCTTGCTATATTTCCATAATACAAAGCAAGACATCGCTAGCCAACCATTATTGTACTTCTTTAAGTTGTTGCTTTAATTTTTTTCCAAGGATGAAAAATAAAACTTGTCCATTTGAAATGAACGAACTAGATACACATGAAGCCTGTTTGATATAAAGAACAGCTCTGATGACATTACAGATACAAATAGCATGACCAATGTGACATCAAAACCACATCATTGACAGAAAAATGTTCTGACAATGTGCTGTTTACAACAAAATATCTTTCAGAAAATAGTGATAAGGTTGCCTTTTATGTACCTTAAATCTATGTATATAATAAATGTTTTTGGAAATTATGAATTCAATTTACTCTGTTTCTTCAATATAGTATTGCTGAGGTGATTTTAGAATATTTTAGATTAATATCTTGCACTCTGTACCAAGTGTACCAAAATATATACATTAAAATTTCTATCGCTTCTACAAGCTACAGATAGCAAAGTGATTGTTCCACAAAATCAATAATTAGAAACTTTTTGTAACCATAGGAAATTCTCGGTGTTCAAATGCAAAATGTATACAATACACAATGGTCTTAACCTTTCTTGTAAACTACACATTTCTGCTGAAGAAATTTATTTTTAAATGTCAGGTTTTGATGGTTTCTCTGAAAGCTCAGTGAGTTTATCTAATGTGCAGTGTAAATGTTGATCGGTTGAAATGCTGTCTGCTGTGAAATAGCCACTTGGGTGAGGTGTTGAAGGTGACCAGTGCTTGTTAAGTATGGCCAAGTAGAAGGGCAAAGGGAGTCCAGCTACCTTCAGGACAAGACAACATTGTGGACAAAATTGGCAAGGGGGGAACGTGTGTGTAAAGCTTAACAGAATCTTTTGATTTTTTTTCTTTCAACTGCTAGAAAATTTTACGTGAGTCTAATTGATGAAGTATTATTGCTTTGAACAAAACCATTTCAGTAATGCATATAGGCAACAGCTTAACTGGTGGTGAAAATCAAACTACCAGTCAGTCTGATCTGAATTAAAAGCCTATAATCTAAAAATGAAATGACTCAATTTAAAACCTAAAGGTCTAAGACCAAGTACCTTACTTTAATGTTAAGCGTGCACACTTGTTTGTAATTATCAACTTGATATGGTCTGAACAAAATTAAGAGATTTCACAGATGTAGGTTTCATCTATGATTTCTCTGAACGTATAATTGACCATAGAATATCCTGAACTGTGTTTCACTGTTCACATTTCCAAAAACCTCATAGCTTAAAATTCATCAAACTGGTAGTCGTCTACTCCACATGGAGTAAAATTTACAGACTTCCTTTTATGTTTCCTTTACTAACAATAATAGTAATAATAATCCTTCCATTTGATATAGCGCTTTTCACATCTAGATGTCTCAAAGCGCTTCACAGAATATACTGTAAAGTGAATTGTAGTATATTTGTGGGCAAAATGCGGCAGCCATTTGCGTACAGCAGCGCCCCACAAACAGTCGTGGATTGAAGTGACCAAATTAGTACTGTTTTTTTCTTGAGGGATTATTATCAGGCGTGTGGAGTAAGGAAACTTGCCCAAGGTTTTGCCCTGCCAGGAATTGAACCTAGGTCTCTCGCTTGCCAGGCGAGTGCTCTAACCACTGAGCTACAGAACTTATCATTAAGTATGAAATAGTTTGAAATTTGCGATTAAAAGTTGAGAAATTTCTCCTGTATCTGAAAATCGCAATTTAAATAATTTTTTAGACTTCAAATTGGATCCATCAGGAAATTAACTAGTCCATTTACCAAAGTTTTATTTAAAACCGATCTATTGGTACTGGCTGTATGGGAGCAGAGGCCTTGGAGAGTAGCAGATGAGTGTTTGTGGTGATACTTGATTGTCATCCTTTAAGTACAAATTACAAACCATTTCATAAGTTATGCTTGTGCTAATTAACACACTAAGTTGAGGAATATTGCACATTTTACCCTGTTTCTTTACATTAGCAACTCTTTAGTGCAGCTCATCTTCCAAGTAACAGCAGTGACTCTAGTTTCACCCTCTGGATGGGTGTCTTCTAAACTGCCCAATGGTATTGCAGTAAGTTTCTCAGCCTGTTCTTATGCAGCATAAACATTTTACAAAACTGTTGTTAGAAAAATAAATAATGGTTCAGTATGACTTTCAGTGATTGTCAGCACTGAGTGTTAAATTGCTATTACACAGTGGCTTGTTAATACACTAGGTATTTAAATACTTCTCATAATTTATGATCCAACGTGCTAGTCAGGTGACTTGTAACCAAGAAATCTATGACCATTTCAATTGCACCGTTGAGTAGAGTTTTCAACAAAACGTATTTTAGGATTTCTATAGTTACCCCCATATTTTGCATATTCTAACATTTTTTCATGAAACAATTTTCATCTAAGCATGAAGCTGTATATGGTTGCTTTTCATTGATTTGAACAGAGGTTGTAATTTAACATTCAACAAAGGTATGCAGTTTTATAAATTTTGTAAGTTTTTGTTTGAATTAATTACTCAGAATATTATGTCTTATCCGACCATACTTCAATAATCTGTTTACAGAGGGCTTATCATTAAAGGTTGATCATCTTTTTTGTTTTCACAATTTACTAGGACAGGAATTTGAGATGTGAAAAATATTTTGATTAGACCTGAGAATAATTTGTAAAAATTAAGAATTCATGTTCTTATAGATATTGATTTGTAAAAAAATGGGATTATTGTTTGTGCAATTTCCCTATTTATCAGTCTCCAGCTATTGAGGTATTCATGATCAATATGAAGTGGGAAAGATTGTTCCTAGTTTACTATTTCAGGGAAAAGATTCTGAGGAGGTTTGATTTTTATTTGAGTGGTTGATCCTTGGAGTTGTAACTGCAGAATAGAGCACAATTTGAATATTTTATGTAACCTTTACATTTTGAACAGTCCTTTAGTGACACTTTCCAAATATTTTTCTGACATTGCAGAACAAAACAGGTTTGAATTCTCAACATTAGGAGCAAATTCTTGTACAGCCTCAACCCAAGACTGCGATCTTTGATTTTGTTTAAGGCAATTTCTATTTTTAAAAAAATGTTTATTTGTACGATAGGTTTAAGGCAGTTTTGTAAGTTTATATGCCCAATTTGTCAAAACAAAATAAAATATTTTGTCACCTGTATCAAATGATCAATTTCCAATAAGACTGATAAAACAAGCAGTGTATTTTCATGTTTGTAAGGCAGCATTTGCAAACTTTATTCAGGATGGGGGTGCTTAAATGAACAAGTTTTTATTCCTGCTTGCCTGTTAGCAGTTCTTATTGCTTAATCCAGCCTCTCTGTGATATGAAATTGCTATTTTAGATTGTCCATTGGTTTACAAGTTGTGTAGCAATTGAGTCCTAAATCTAAAACATAGAATATACTGCATTTAAATATGCGGAAGATGATATCTATGCACAAACTAAGTTTAGGAAATCCAGTGAAACAAGTTGCCTAGAACTGCGAGTTTCAAGTTTTCTTTTAAAAGTTTATTTTTTAAATTATTTATTGTGGATGAGAACATCTTCTACCACCCTGCAGATGTTCAACTAATTAAGACTATGGATTGGAGTGAAACTAACCCATAGTGGTATGACAATGGAATGAGACTTTCAAAGCATGTAAACAGATGGTAAAAAGGATCCTTCATTTCTACCTCCATGGGAGGAAAAATACCCCTCTGTGTAACCAACTAATTAAGCATTGTTAGGGAAAGCTTTTGCAGTGATGTATGTCTCGTTTCGAACAGATACTGTACAGTTTCATTCTGAAGAACCAGAAGAATTTTTCAATACAACTTAGTTGTAACATTAATCTAGACTTCAATGTTTCTCACCTTCCATCCATAATGTTTCACCTCCAAATTACGATAGGTGAATTACTGATCACTGACTAGTCGTACTTAGCTTTAAGTGAAAGTGTTTACAAATCCCTGCAAATGCAGGTGGTAAACTTAAGTGAAAATTTTAGTGGAGGCAAAATCAGTACGGATCCTTGGTGTTTTGCTCGACCCTCAACTGTCTTTTAAACCCCACATCTTTGCCATTACCCATCCTGCCTTCCTCACCTCCCAACATTGCCTGCATCGGCCACTATCTTCCCCTCAGGCTGCTAATCCAAGCTTTCATTATGTGGATTACGCTAACCCTGCTCACCGGACTTCCCAACTCTTCCCTCCACAAGCTGCGGATTATACAGATCGAGTGCTTTCCTGCAGTAAGCTTTGTGAGCCAATCACCCCATCCTACCCCAGCTTCACTAGCTCCCCATATCCCAGACCTAGAGGATCGAGTTTATGGTGTTTGTCCTCTTTAAAACCTTCCACTATCTTGCTCCTCTGTGACCTATTAAAATTTCGCCAATCTGTCTGTTCCCTCCTCTCTGCAGGCAATGGCCTGCTCCAGGTCCCCGGCCCTGCCTTCTCCACTATCGGTGGTCAGGCTTTCAGGCTTTCTGCCCCCATGCTCTGGAACTCCATCCTGGGCCCGTTCTACTTCACCCCCTCCATTGCCTCCTTCAAGGTCCACCTCAAGATCTTTTCAATTGTGCCTTCAGTCATCTTCCTTCCTCCAACCCCCTTGCCCTTCACCCCTCTCTGATTCCAACCCGCAGCTCAGGTGCAAACCTCTCATTCTCAAGTGTCTTTGGACGTCCTCCCGACATGAAAAGTGTTGTATAAATGCAATTTATTGTTGCGTAGAGACCCACAATCTGTACAAGTAATACGAAAAGCTAACCAGTGAATGGAAGTTTCTGTAGCATGAAATAATTTGCAATAAAATATTACAGGCCAGATATTATGAGGGCAGAAATTTAATACTAGGATTGTTACTGAATTAAAATGTATTTGTAAAGTCTTAACTGTTCAATATGTATTTCAAAATTCAGATAAAACTGAAGATATAAAAGTTTACTTTGCAGGTCTCTCCAGGGTACAATGATTTCTTGATCTACCTTTTTAATGTGTAGCTTTTTAAAATGTGTATTTTTCTGGATATAATCTAAAATTGTATTGAGTTCAGAGTAATGTAGATGTTACAGTTTCCCTGATGTGTACATGGCAGTACTCAAATGTTGTGCAGAAGTGTGCCTTTTAAAAACTATTTTCAGGTCTTTGAACTTTCATTTTGATGGAAATGTTACCAAGAACCTTGCTGCTGAGTAGTTTCTTTTTGTCACTTCTTGCAGATTTAAAACTTATTTAGGACCCGATATAGTACAATAGGTACATTCAGTGTACAGTGTACTAAAGTCCCTCACACAATTTAAACTTCATCTGACTGAGGTTAATGCCAAATGACTTTCGTG